ATAGGACGGTTACCAGTCGTAATACACCATCTACTGCCAAAAGGCAAAAGGCAAGGGGCTGGGGCAATGCAACCCTACAGCTGCCAGCCCCACGGCTGCCAGCACCTAGATCGCTGATGAAGGCTACCAGTCATGCTGCACCGTCTACCGCCAAAAGGCAGTTAGCTGCTGCTGCTGCTGTGTAGCAATGCAGTCCCACGTCTGCCGGCACCCAGATGACATATGGTGACGGTGAGCTGAGCGGGCTCCATGCTTGCCGTGGTATGTTGTCTGCACAGATAACCCAGGTAAAAAGGCGCGAATCTATTGTCTGCCGTTGCTCTGACGGAGGGGGAGGGGCCTGACGACATGTACCCAGAACCTCCCGCTGTTTTGCATCATCCGGGCATTGGGATCTCAACCCAGAATTCCAATGGGCGGCGGAGACTGCGGGAACTGTGGGATAGCTACCCATAGTGCAATGCTCCGGAAGTCGATGCTAGCCTCGGTACTGTGGACGCGGTCCGCCGACTAGAGCACTTAGAGCATTTTATGTGGGGACTCACAAAATCGGCTGTATACAACCGATTTCTATAAAACCGGCTTCTATTAATTCGACCTAATTTCGTAGTGTAGACATACCCTCAGTGTCACTGTAGGACAGCTCAGTGGAGAGTGCTGCTCCATGGGCAGGTGCAGTCAAACAAGCTAATGAGATGTTCGGGTTAACGCTGTGGAAATAACCGATTCTTCAGTTTGGTGGCTGAACTGAAAAAGAAGAAATTTGTCTCAGGTAGAATTAAATGTTTTGTTCTACCTAAAACTAAAATTGTTTCTTTTTCGGTTTGCCTCCACTTTAAAATAAAACAAATAAATTTCAAAACAAAAAGTCATTTTGAATAAAAAAAAAATCAAAACATTGTTTTGAAAATGTCCTAATTAAAAAAAAAAGTTTTACACATTTTATCCCCCACCCACCGCCAAAACAATTCAGTAGCTTTGACATTAATTTGAAAAATGTTTCAGCTGACCCAAACCCACATTCAGGAGCGCTGCCAGCTTTTCTGCCACCTTAGGAGGCAGAAGTTCCCACCTCAAAATGCCGCCCCCCACAGAGGCGGCGGAAGGTCCCGCCGCCAAAATACCGCCACAGTCGCCACCCCCCAAATTATAGCACCCTAGGTGACTGCCTAGGTCGCCTAATGGGTTGCGCCGGCCCTGCCCACATTTTTTGGTGGAAAAAAGTTTTCTGTTGAAAAATTTCACCCAGCTGTAGTTTGGTTGCATAGGAAATGGGATGGAGAAAAATATGGAGAATATTCTACTACTTTTATATAAAACAATGATGTGGCCCCCATCTACGTGTGGTACTAGATACCCCATCTCACATGGGATATTGCAAAACTGCTGTTCAGAGAATGGTGACGGGAATGACCCAGGGTCTGGAGAAACTCCCAGGAAGAGAGATTGGAAAGACTAGGATTGTCACTTTAGAAAGGAGATGAATAAGAGGGGAAATGATAAACGCATATAAAATAATGACTGATCTATTCTAGAGAATTGTATGCAGTGTAGTTGTAGCCAGGTCGGTCCCAGGATATGAGAGAGACAAGGTGGGTGAGGTAATAGCTTTTATTGGACCAGCTTCTGTTGATGAGAGAGACAAGCTTTCAAGATACAGAGCTTCCTCAGGTTACTCAAAACTTGTCTCTCACCAACAGAAGTTGGGCCAATAAAAGCTATTCCGTCACCCATCTGATCTCAAGAAGTCAGATAAGGAGTAGGTGTTCTCCCTGTCTCATAATACAAGGACAAGGGACACAAAGTTAAAAGATAGGAAATCCAAAACCGATAAAAGGAATTTTCCCCCTCACAGGCTGTAATTAGACTGCAGAACTCACCACCACAGGATGTCATTGAGGCAAAGAATTAAGATTTAAAAATTGATTGGTTATTTGTAGGATATCAAGACTATCCATTGCTGTCATAATTAGTGACAACACAAATTTGGGACGGGGTAATTAAACCTCATGCTTTAGGACTTAACCCCATCTCTATTAGAGGCCAGGATGAGACCTAATGAGGGGAGCGGGTTATCCCACATCTGCTACTGCGCAGGATTCTTACTTTCCTCTGCAGCATCTGGTGACAGCCCCAGGATACCCGACTTGGCAGACCTTGGCTTGGACACAGTCTAGGAATTCTTTTGTTTGCCAAAATAATGGAATATCTAAAAGTCTGCAGACAGTAATTGCCAGGATCACTCTCCTGTCCTTTTTTGGAGCTCAGTACTCATAGAATCATAGAATATCAGAGTTGGAAGGGACCTCAAGAGGTCATCTAGTCCAACCCCCTGCTCAAAGCAGGACCAATTCCCAGCTAAATCATCCCAGCCAGGGCTTTGTCAAGCCGGGCCTTAAAAACCTCCAAGGAAGGAGACTCCACCACCTCCCTAGGTAATGCATTCCAGTGTTTCACCACCCTCCTAGTGAAACAGTTTTTCCTGATAGCCAACCTGGACCTCCCGCACTGCAACTTGAGACCATTGCTCCTTGTTCTGTCATCTGCCACCACTGAGAACAGCCGAGCTCCATCCTCTTTGGAACCCCCCTTCAGGTAGTTGAAGGCTGCTATCAAATCCCCCCTCATTCTTCTCTTCTGGAGACTAAACAATCCCAGTTCCCTCAGCCTCTCCTCATAAGTCATGTGCTCCAGACCCCTAATTATTTTTGTTGCCCTCCGCTGGACTCTTTCCAGTTTTTCCACATCCTTCTTGTAGTGTGGGGCCCAAAACTGGACACAGTATTCCAGATGAGGCCTCACCAATGTCGAATAAAGGGGAACGATCACGTTCCTCGATCTGCTGGCAATGCCTCTACTTATACAGCCCAAAATGCCGCTAGCCTTCTTGGCAACAAGAGCACACTGTTGACTCATATCCAGCTTCTCGTCCACTGTGACCCCTAGGTCCTTTTCTGCAGAACTGCTGCCTAGCCATTCGGTCCCTAGTCTGTAGCAGTGCAAGGGATTCTTCCGTCCTAAGTGCAGGACTCTGCACTTGTCCTTGTTGAACCTCATCAGGTTTTTTTCGGCCCAATCCTCTAATTTGTCTAGGTCCCTCTGTATCCGATCCCTACCCTCTAGTGTATCTACCACGCCTCCTAGTTTACGTATCATCTGCAAACTTGCTGAGAGTGCAGTCCACACCATCCTCCAGATCATTAATAAAGATATTAAACAAAACCGGCCCCAGGACCGACCCTTGGGGCACTCCGCTTGAAACCGGCTGCCGACTAGACATGGAGCCATTGATCCCTACCCGTTGAGCCCGACGATCTAGCCAGCTTTCTATCCACCTTACAGTCCATTCATCCAGCCCATACTTCTTTAACTTGGCGGCAAGAATACTGTGGGAGACCGTATCAAAAGCTTTGCTAAAGTCAAGGAATAATTGTGTCCCCAGACAAAACAGA